TCTCATCAAGCTGTATTGAATTCCTGTTTTTAATAAATAGTGGTATATTTTAAGCAATGAAGTACCACTGTTTAGTATCTTTCTTTTCTGGGATGGATATATCCATATTTTTAAATTCTTAAAACCTTTTTTCTAAGTCATAAACTCAGTACCGATTCCCAAGACTCCTTGATGGCAGAAGCTGAAAATCGTAGTGGCAGCCCATAACGAAAATTCCCTGCATTTCATTAAACTTTTCTTTTTAAGATCCTGCAGGTTGTTTGACCGTAATATAAATATTTGCCTGTTTTTCTGTGTTAAATATAGAGACTTGGTAAAGTTTGAAAGCCTATCTGTTTTCCCAGCTACATAAGCCAATGTAAAAGATCCGGTAAGTCTTGCTTCCTTTCAGTGATTAATTGAAGGGATTTTGTCCATACTGACTATTTTACTTTGGCAGCTGTTACAGACACAGAGAGTAAGCTTCTTTAAAGAGGAGAATTAAAAGGTGCTACATCTATAGGAATCTCCTCTCTTGACTTTAGTTGTGTAAAACCGAGGTTTCTTGTATGACATCGTGTTAGAGGTTTTGGGGGATTTTACTTCAGTCTGTGTCCTGAGAGTTAGCACTGAATTTTCACTGGGCTGATCTTTGAGGTGGACTAAAAATCTGCTAAATACATGAAACCCAGTGCGGGACAGGCTTGACCAACATCGCTCAACGCAGTACACGCAAAGGTTCATGCTCTATTTTTCAACATCTCATATACTTTTTTTTTCTACTTTAAAGCCACAACCAGTATGAATAACGTCTTTTACCTTTTTATTGTAAACATTTAGGCTTAAAGTGATTATAACTGACAGTTAAAACCAACAGGAGCCAGTGACCTGTTCATACACACGTTAACTGTAATACAGGCAACATCAAAAATAAACATTTCTAACAGTTCCTTCAATCCACCAAATCTAGCAGACAGATTTTTTTTTTTTTTTTTTTTTAAAACAGCTTTGTCCTGTGGTATAACTTTAAAATTCCTGGTCTTTTATGTGAAAAAAATAATGTTTGCATTTTGAGTTATTTTACAATTGACTTTTTTATGTATATTTTGATTCATTCACTGCTCCAGAGCAGCACAAAAATAGTAAAAGGATTTCATCCAGCAATGTAAGCTTTTTCATATGGAATTGTTTAACAATAATGATGGAGCGAGAGTTGAAAGCAAGCTAACTTCAACCTTTGGTAAAATTGGCCAATCTTCTCATCACGAATAGTCACAAAAAATTCTGTGAGGTATCATATACAGTAATTAATTTGGGGTTATCGTTTGACCGTGAGGGTTTTTTCTGTTTTGTACTGTTGAAAAAGCTCAGATGGAAATTAAGAAGGACTAGTTGGCAAAAGGAGCTGTGCTCTCATGTGATACTATGGAAATAAACATTCTCGTTACTTGAGTGTAGTTAAGTGACGGTTACCATGTTTTTGGCTACTGCATACTGCAAAATAAGTAATTGGACATCAGAAGGTATTTTAAAGTGAGGAATACTAAGGAGCCCACAGACACACAAATCAAAGTTGTAACAATGGTAGTCCCAGAGCTGTTAGCTCACCCTCCTTTTGCAGCCATGCAGGTTCCTTCGTCACGTGCAGCCAGATTCATGTGCCAACAGGACTTGAAACTATGC